CCATGCCGGACACCAGTAATTTCGTTCCGGCAATAATGTCCCCCATGCCGGACACCAGTAATTTCGTTCCGGCAATAATGTTTGATGATATAGGTCCCACCTGCTGTGCTGGCAAACACCCCTACCCCCACCCGCGTATATGCCAGCACAGGGGTGAACCGTAGGGTTAGTGCCTGCCCTATACACGTATTTGGGCGGCAATAGCCAGTGCCCACCTATGCACTACTGCGCAATGTATGCAGCAGCGTTGATGCACAACCGCCGTACACTTGACTCTACTGAAAGACGTTACACAGTTCAGTAGAGTCGGTGTACGACGGTTATGCATCAACGCTGCTATGTAATCCTATAAACATGCGCGCTGATATACGCTTCGCTGGTATGGCATGCGGTTGTATGCGAGTGAGCGCAGTGCACTGCGTGACCACTGGGCACACTGCTCTCTCTCGGTCCACTGTCTTGCAAGAATCTCTGCGCATTTAATAATTGTAAACATCATATTATGCACAGCATATACGTTGCACACAGAGAGCACCTCAGCTGGCTGACCGAATGGATTTTGATCTGGTGCAGTCAGTCATCCGTGGAATGCTCTGGATTTTGATGCAAGCATGTATACTGATGGTACTGCAGTTTCGGTCAGCTGATAACAAAATACTTTCCAACAGAGTAATTGTCCATGCAAAAAACAAATTGCAGAGTTCTCACGGCGCGTTATCTTAATGTCATTCCATCAGCCAGTGGAGAGTCATACACAGATAACGGGCAGCGCTGTCTTCATTGGGCTATGGTAAGTGCAATTTATCGCTCTTCACAAGGCAGCGCTTTAATTTCATGTTTGTTGTCCTGAAGTCCAAATCGGAGATTCTCTTTTTCCTTCAACAATTTTACAAATGCCTATCGTATTGGCGCTGCGTTATTGATTTTATTTCCAACAATAATAAAATGTCGCGCTTAATTGTTTTGGTGATTACGGTACATACAGGTTGTCTGGCTTTCTTGGCCGGCAGTTATGGCCGTCAGTCGCTGCAGTCCGATTCCTCTGCTGCACCTTGCCCGCATTTTTGCACCTGCTATCCTACCTTCTGGAAATGCGGCGACAGTAAAGCATCACTGTGGCCGTTAGACAATCATCCAGATGCAATGATCAGAGGCGTTCGCATGCTCGATTTATCAGGATCAGATGTGGACGTCCTGCCTAATCAGAGCCCAACCCATAATTTTCCCGACCTTCAGCTCATCATCCTGTCGCAGACGATTTTCGACGGCCAGCAATGCCGCGAACTGGAATGCCTGGAGAATTTGGGTATCCGAGTCATTGCTCCTCGTTGCCCTGCAGGTAACACAGTAATGAAAACATTTAAATAATTGTCAAATAATATCGTTGAAATAATTTCTTAAAGTTAAGCATTCGTATTTTCTCTTATAATAATATAAAAATATTTCGCAGACAAACGCACCGGATGTGCGTATCCGCCATGCTGCCCATGGGCTGCAGCAGCACGGACTCGTCCACTTCCACCACCATCACCTACTGCCGACAAGTCTCAGTCTCCACTGCTACCATTCATCAACGGAGAAACCTCGACCATTTTCAACCCTTCGCGGGATCGGGAATACAGCACACGGGCTATGGCACCATCAACAGCCGCGACCGATAATCTGAGCGGTAAGAGTGATGATGGGGAGCGTATTGTTATTGGTGTGGACAACACAACTCATTCTACTGCTGCAATTTTTCCCGTTACGCTGTTATCGCTGCCAGCCGTTTTAACAACGTATGCGAGTTCGAGAAAGCCGCCTAGTCATGCGACTGCAAGTACGGGTACATTACTTCCGCTGACTACATCTAGTGATTATTACCTGCGTAAAGTAGTGGTGGTGGGCGGATTAAGTACTGCCGGCAAAACTGCTACACAGCTACCGCCGACTACGATAAAGACAACATTGACGCCGTCCGCTGTTGTAACACCCACACGCGCGCCCGCCCAGCTAGAATTTAATTTGATGTCGATATTAACCACAACCTCTTTTATCACTGATAAAGTGTTCGCAACGTCATTCCCTGTCGAATTGGTCATGCATCGTGAGAGTTATTACAAGAATAGGGATCAGAGTAGCGATAATGTAGCTGTGTCAAAAAAGCCCGATATGATGATGACACCTTCCCCTTCATCTCAGTCGTCGTTAGTTACCGATATGACGGCGCCAGAAGCGGATATCAGCAGTGAAAGAACGAGCACGGCGGACACCATTCGTATCACGACTGCTACCAACTCCACGATCAGGTCAACCGCTGCTGTAACGATGCCGGCCGAAGCAACCTTGGCAAGTATAACTCCACCCACGGTTACAGACGCTGCTGACCCTTCCACCTGCGTCCCGAATATTTCTACTTCCCCACAGCCAATTCTCGCAACACACCCACTTATCAACACAACAGCTGATATGGGTATATTGCCACCGCTGCTGCTGGCTTCGCATCCGGGCGAAAACACTAGTGCGGCTGTATCCAAAAGCAACGACGCAGAATTATTTGTATTAAATAGCAGTAGTAATGCGGATGTCGGTCAGTCGGAACGTTTTGAATTGTCATCGTTATCTGCTGGCAAGGATAGTGATGATGATGATGATGACGAACCTCTGACGACTATTGTTGGATCCGTGTTGTCCCCAACGACGACACCAGCCACGCTGGCGCTACCGGATGCTACAGTTCGCATTGTTCCCTGTGCCAACATATCATGCCCTCCGTGTTTGCTTGTAGGTAGTCGTGACGGTAGTGCTGAAGTTCGTATGGGATTGCTGGCAGATCGGTTTACTGCAGCTAGTATTGCGGTAGCAAGTGTCATTCTGCTTCTGCTAGTCATCTTGTGTATCTTGTGGAAGCGTGGTTATCGTGTTATTCGCGGCGGCGGCGGAGGCGTCGGCAATAATCAGCAAGATGACGGTGGCGATGAGGACCATGAACGCAGTCGCGGTCGCCGCAGTGCTTCGGTGTGGTCTTGGATGAGAGGAGTCTTTAATAACAACAGGGACAACAGCAGCAGTGGCGGCGGCACTAACGATGATGTCAATCGTCCGGGCATGGGACTGGGCAGACAAGTTCAAGGTGGGCACGATGGGCGTTGGGGTGGTGGTCGTGGCGGAGTATCAACGAATCCTATCTTCAATCCCGGCCGTCAGCAGCACCATGGCTTCTCTCCAGTAGCCAACCTGAATTCCAGGACACCGACTCGCCACATGCCGTCCCCACGCCCTGCCGGAAATAATCCCGTGCTTGATGATAGAGTGATGAACTTTGACGACGATAACGATCACGACCACGACCACGACAACAACGATAACAACTGCCGTGACCGCCAGCAGCAAGTTGCGGGAAATAATGCGCGATTTCCGGCAGAGTACCGTGCGGACGACAGGGAATCTCCCGTGTACAATTCCCCACGCTCTAATGTGTCACGAGTTATTGTTTCTGCGGAAGTGCACGGACGCAATAACGCCGATCAAGAGCAGGACGAACAGGGCGGTAAGTGTAGCTGAGTAATATAATGATGCTTAGGTATTTCCGTTATTGCACGTATATTGAATTTGCCTTGTAGAACACATGTACGAAAATGTTTTACTACCGGCTCTACCACTGCCACCATCTTCTCCTAATCGCTCTGTGAGTATTGGCAGCGCAGACGGTGAGTTTGCTTGATTATTATAACGCTGCATACATTTATTTTTTCATCGCACTGATCATTACTTTATTGTAGAACTTATGAGCGGAAACTCGTCCGCTCCTCCACCATTTTCTCCACGGCACAATGTCAGAAGCAGCAGCATGAGCGCGCTGGAGGAAGTTCTGGAAAGGGAGGAAGAAGAAGATGATGATGATGACCAGCACCGAGTAGTGGTCCATAATGAAGAGCACGGGAACAATTCGGTTCTGGAGCGGGAGAGTAGCGAACATGAAGGCGACGGGAGCGGTGGTGGGTAATTATACAATTTTTTATCTATACGAACCAACAAAATCTGGACGATGTGTTTTTTTGTCAGGACAGGAAATAGATGTGCAACTTCCTGAAGCAATGGTGGCAAGCGGGCACCTGGGAGTACTGCGTGGTCGCGGTCGCGGTCGTCCTCCTGGCGGTGGCGGTCGTGGCCGTGGTTTTCGCGGTGGATTTCAGGCGAATGCGGTTTGGAATCGACGCGACGGAAGTGGGTACCGTTTGGAACGTCGCTGAAGTTTAGATGTACATATTTGTTTTGAAAAGGCTTTTTGTATATAGTTTATCGCCAATTTTGCTCATCAATTTCCTTTCTTTCGTCCTAAATGCATAAAATGTACATAGATTATTTACGTTAAAAATGTAATGGTTACCAATTTCGTTTTTCTATAAGCGTTACAGCTACTAACGATTTGCTGTTCTGACAAACTAATTTGACTTTTGTTATTATACAACTTGCATTTGACGTGCATCGGCAATTTGGAATTTTGTTGAATTTTTGAACCAAAATTATAATTTTTAATCTCCTACGCGTGTATTATCGCACGGCGGTTGCACAATAACAAATGCATTGCACAAGTTTTCTTATGTCCACGTCGGTGTTTACTGCAGAGGCTCTGCCTACATCCATATTTTTTATATGAATGTATCGCGAGCCTCTGCAGTTCCCACCTAGTGGGGTAAAAAACGCTGGATCCAGTGAATAAGTCTGCCTATGAGCAAATGCAACTAAACAAGCGCTCGGTGACACAATGCAGGTCGAACGGAAGAATATAATTGTTAGTACCAAAATGAGTGTAATCCTGGTGACCTTTTCAGCTGCTGGGAAATTGAAATCTGGCTGGCTGGTTCTCGCAAAGTTTATTCCGTATAATAATCGTCAGGCACAACAACAACAACAACAACAACTGCGCTTGTCACATTACAATAATTCGTAAGCTCACAGGAGCACTAGTCCATATAAGAAGAGGTAAATTTCACTCAACAACAACGTCAGGCAGCCCGCCGGAAGTGGTGGCCGTTGCGGCAATCGTACCCATACGCTTATTGACAACGACTTGGAACTGACAGGTCAAACAGAGCAAGCGTAATTTTCCACGTTTACGTGCTATCAATGTACAACAGCTGGCACAACGCTGACATTGCACAAATGCCTTAAAATAATTCTTAATTACTTGGTTAATATGGCGGAAGTTGAAGTGGCCGTAGATCTCCAGGTAAGTGTATTGCCGATATGGATCCGATACAAAAACGGCGGGTGGGCAGGGCTCCAGTCCCGGGCGCGCAATCGTCATAGCTCGTAGAGCAGTGTGGAAGTAATCATCCAGCCTGATAAGTGGTTGCTCCATGATATTGCGAAACTGATAAAAGTTAGTAATTCTTGTAATGCAGACAAAGGTGTTGCGATGGCTAATTACGGGAACGGGAAGTGGCTATACAAAATAACTTGTGTTAACATTAATGTTAGGCACTTGCAAGTCTCGTATAGTTAATAAAGTGCTGATGAAAGTGAAGAATATGCTAAAAATAAGAAAGATAAAAGCGACGACGAGAATTACCAAAATTAGTGACAGCGTCACATGCTCTGGAAGGTCGAGGGCGTGACGCCTAGCGCTACCGTCAGCTGTTGTAGAGTAGGACGGCGGTGGCGAAGACGGTACTGTTCGTATTCCTGCAGGTGGCGTATTCTCGCGATCTTCATTAAGATTTTGGATTCGGATGATTGTAGTGGTGGTAGTGGCGGTGGTGGTGGTGGTATTTTCTTCGTCGCCGCTGCTCTGAGATGGTGTAGAAGATTGGTTGTGGTGGCTATCTGGACGGCGGCGATTGGTAAGCGAGTTAAGACGCTCAAGTGGCATCGTTGCTATTACGCACTGTGGAAGGAGATGCAATAGGTGGAGGACACTCTAGGATTTCTAGTAACTGCTTATAATAATTCTGCAGGATTTTCCCGATTAATTGTCGTGCAGCGTCACACTTGGCCAGTTGATTTGTTGGGCCACACCCTATAACAAAAATATCCTCGTTCGCAACAGTAGCTTGACAGTTCCAGCTGGTAGCTTCTGCTGAAGGCAGTCGGCGATATTCCACATCAAAATTTAAAACCGTGGCAATATTATCCAGCAAATAAGGCAAAGATAAATGACTGCGGGAAAGGGAATGGGTTGAGGTGAGAGACTGCGGTGCACCCAACAACTCAAGTAGCTTGTGCTGATAGTTGCGTAACAAGATGGCAAAAAGCTTTTTTGCGGCGTCTTGCTTAGCGGTAGCGGACGATTTGCCAACTCCAACAGCAAAAATATTCTCTGTAACAATACTAGCACGGTATTTGCAGGCGACAGCTTCGTTTATACGCCGAGGAATATTTTTATATTCAACTTCAAAAGACAGTGCTTTAGTAATAATATTGACTATAGTCGTAAAGTAGCGCCGCACCATTCCGGAAAAGTAAAGTGACCAGAAAATCTAACAGCGCGGACATGGCTTATAAAGAGCGACAATAAAGATAATTGCTATGTTTACCAGTCGAATGAACCGCCCAGCAGAACTCCTCCAATCCTCCTCCCTTTTAAGTGGGAGGAGAATTGTGGGAAAGCTGATTTGCGCCAGATTATTAGGGTATATAAGTGAATTTAATGGGCAGTACAGTAACAATTTTCCTTCCTGCTTAACGCTGCTGACTACTAGGGATGTGCTTCGGTGCATGTTGATTGTCCCAGCTGTCAGCTCGTTTAATTTAGACTTTGTGGATATATCTACGTTCTGCACGCACGTTTGCAACTCGTCAGCTGATTCTGATCTTACCAAAGAACGCACCTGGATTTAAATAAGCGGTAAGTTATGGCTAAAGTAAGACAGATCGTGACTACTGCGGCAGAGAGTCGGCGAAAGGCAACACTACTGAAAAGTTTGTACACCGATATAACATCACCGGCTTACCTTACCGGCGCTGCGAGTCTTTATCGAGTGGCCAAAGAACGGGAAGTTGAGAAAAGAGTTAAGATTACCCTAAAAGATGTAAAAGATTTTCTTGCGCAGCAGCGAACTCACACCGTTCATAAGCCTGTACGAATAAAATTCAAAAAACTGAAGAATTTTTGTGTGGGAGTGGACAATGTCTGGCATGGCGACCTTGTAGAATTACAAAAAATTAAAAAGTTTAATGAGCGATACAAGTACATTTTGACAATGGTAGATTGCGTGAGCCGCTATGCAACCTCCTTTCCTTTAGAAAACAAATCGGGTGAAACTGTGGCAAAATCAATGGATAAAATTTTTGAAATACGAAATCCAATTGTACTAAGTAAGTGCATTATGTTTGTAAGTCTCAGTAAATGCATTTTTATTTATGTGAAAAATTTTATGTGCAGTAACTGATGCTGGCAAAGAATTTTTGAATGCAAAAGTAAATGCCGTTCTCCAAAAGTATGGGATAAGACATCAGGTTTCTTCTTCGCGCTTCAAAGCAGCCCTTGCGGAGCGATACAACCGAACGCTAAAGACAATCCTTTTTCGCCACTTTACCTATACCAAAAGTTCTAACTGGCATTCGGCGCTGCAGAATATTGTCAGCAATTATAATATGAGTATTCATAGCGGTGTTAAAATGAAACCGGCAGAGGTGACAATAAAAAATCAGTCACTTCTGTTCAAACAAGGCCAAGAAAAAAAATTTATCAAGCTTGCCAAGCCAAAATTTAAAGAGGGGGACCTTGTGAGAGTTGTTTTAAAGAAATCTGTTTTTAGCAAAGGTTACACGCAAACGTTTAGTGACGAAATTTTTCGCGTATCCGAAATCGTTTACGGGCCGGTTATAACCTATCGGCTTTCATCACTTTCTACTGGGCAACCAGTACGAGACGGAAATCGCGCGTCGCAGTTCTACCAAGAAGATTTATCTTTGGCCAGGTTGTTCTTGTAGTGTTAATTATGGGTCTTTCAAAAAATTCGAATTGATTGTTATTTGTTGCAGACTGTAACCTGAACGCGAAGATGATGGAAAGTGGATATTATGTGGTGCTGCACAGCGGAGCTTCACCAGCGTATGGCGCTACGGTCCTGCACAATACGGCAACGAATTTCTCTAATAAGATTCAGCAGCCGTTGCTGTCCTACAAGGAATTAGAGCAGCCCTGGGAAGTGGCTCTTGTACGGGCCTATTCCTCCGCAAAATTGTCCAAGATTCCTCCTGAGCAAAGGCAGCTGACAATCTATTACAAGAGTCAAGCAGATTCCTGCGAAATATACCTTGATGGGTTTTTAGCGGAATCAGATTTCGAAAAATCGCCTGCAGATTTGATCGCCGCTCTTGCAAAAGCTGTTGATGCGATATTGACAGGTAGTGGAGCGGCGTGTGCCTGGGCCACCAGACCGCAGATCCAGTTAATTGATGGAAGACTTTATTGGTTCAGTGAGAATGACGAAATACAGATTGTAAACCGCGGTAATCTACTCTGCGCGGTACTTGGATTGACCTATGACGATTCTAATGGAGTTATGCGGCAACACGTTCTCACGTCTTATGTACATGATCAAAATTTTCCCAAGTTCAGCGATACACGCCTTGCACGCCATCGTCTCTTGGTTGATCCTGCACGCGGACGACGACAGGTTCTGCTAACACTGAGTCACATTATCCCTGCAGCGTTTGGCAGTCGGGCAGAAAACTTACTCGCCATGATAACCCCGGCCGAACTGGAGAAGGGATACGAACCTGCCACACGAATTTACCTTCCTGTGCAGAATTGGTTCTCCAAAGCGAACCCATTTATTCAGCTACAGACTGACTGGAAAATGCAATGGAAAGAAGACGCGCTTGGGGAATCGGCAGTTGTTCTCCATTATCGAAAATGCAAGCCCAACGAGTCCACATCGGTGTAGGTGGTTCGGAGAAGTGTTCGTGAAATTTTTTTCGTAATGTACGCAAAAGTGACATTTGATGTCGAAAAAAACGTAGAAAGAACGCAATTTAACTTTTTTTCTCGTAAGAACAGCGTGGGCGTGGTTCTGTTCTAAAGCGCGAGAATTGTTGAATAACTTGTAAGTTGTTGATGCTGCTGCTGCTGCTACTACTATATAAAATGAATAAAGTGCGACAGTAAGTGTTCATTCTGCAAAAGTAGAGTTGTGTACTCGCGTTCTTACGCTTTAAACACTATTAAAAACGGCGGGATATACGACGACGACGACTAATAGACGACGACGACGACCAGTACGACGACGGCGAGGAAATCGTGTTATTAAACGTACTATTGTGCAGTCAACGGTCATAGGCAAATCTTTTCGACGTAGAAAACGAGCGGGACGACGGAGACGACGTAATAAACGAGCAATTCGAACGGGATTATTTCAAAAAATTACACGGGGAAAGACATTAGCTTCACTGATCTAATAATAATTTTAGCAAATATTATGGCCAAACAGCAAGCGACTATCGAAAAATTTCCCGATGAACTGCAGTTGTTTGACCCTCCGGTATCACAATCAACCATTGAGGGCAGTCATACCATGGAAATTTTACCACTGAACCAGGTTGTCAATAATTCAGAAATAATTGAATTTTTGATACCATCAACGGAATATTATTTGGATTTAGCCGATACGATGTTGTACATGCGCTGCCAAATTCTTGGGCGTGACAGCACAAAACCGTTAGGTAAAATTAAAGCAGCGACTACCAAAGTAGACGCTTCTGCATCAGCTCAGTCAAATGCGCCCGTGGCTGGTCAGGGGCAGCCGCAGCAGCTGCAACCGCTAAAGCAAACACACTACACGGAGAATCCGCTGGATGATCCAGTAATTGCCAATATAGTGTCAGGGTTGGATGAAAGCCAGAGACAGCATTATGCAAACAAATTAAGCGACGTAGGAATCCGCGATGCCGCACCTGTTAATCTACTTTTCTATCTCTGCTTTGAGCGTGTAGAAGTTGAACTGAACGGTACACCTTTCATTGTTAGTTACGCTAATTACGGGTATAAAGCATATTTTCATACCTTACTGAACTATTCCCGCGGCGTGAAAAAAAACCTCTTACGAAATGTAATGTGGTTTAAAGACCGCCTAAGTCGCGTACAACCCCAGAATAGTTTAGACAGTTTCGATATATTGAATGCGGAAACCAACGAAGGTTTAACAGCGCGCTACAACATAACAAAAGAAGGCCGACCTTTCGAAATGTTAGGAAAAATTATGCATGAATTGTTTCACCTTGACAACTACCTGCTTCCTGAAATTTCTATCCGAATCAGATTATTCAAACGAAACCCTGCATTCTATTTGATGTCGGGCGACATCGACCCTAATTATTTTCTCAACATACTGGATATGCGTTTACTCACGCGTTACGTTAAACTGTCGGCTAAATTAAATGACCAAATTCAAAAAAGACTATCCACAGCCCCGGCCATCTACAAAATGTATGCTGCAACGGACGTACGAACTCGCGCTCTTACCCCAGGACAGCGACTATATACAATCGATAACTTTTTTGGTACAGAGAAGGTGCCGAATCGTTTAATATTTGCTATGGTAACGCACGACGCCTATTTGGGCAACTACCAGAAAAACCCGTTAAATTTCCAACATTTTGATCTAGAAGAGATAAGCTTAGTTGTAGATAATCAAATTTACAGCTATAAGACGGACTTTAAGAACGGATATTACGCTTTGCTGTACACTGCATTAGCTTGCCAACTAGGCAATCGTGACTACGCATGTTCTTCCGATACGTCTTATCTGGAGTTGCGATATGGAACGGTGAGTTCGAATCTCACATTGTAATAAGTAACTGTCGCCACGGTAAATTCTTTTTTACAGAGCATTTTTCCGTTTGACCTCACACCCAATCATAATACAGATGATATACCTGTTGAGCGGAGACAAATGGCTAGACTGGAACTTAAATTTGCAACACCTCTAAAGGAGCCGATTGAGCTGCTGGTCTTCTATGAACAACCTCGTATTTTTCAAATAGATAAAAATAAACGTTTCATTAATGTGTTGTAAAAGACATAAATCAAGTGTTTTATGTTGCATGCGTGTTTTAGTTTGCTATTAAAGGTACAACGTCATCGCAAAAAATGCTCAGTTTTGCTTGCGTGCGTTTATTCGTTTTTCTGATTAAAGAATATTGGTTACATCAAGCGGTTTACTGTTCTCATTATACACTTCCCGAAAAATTTTCAGGATGTTACGTGA